GACTCCAGCATGTGTAGATTTCTGCTGCCTCCGTCCTCGTGCGTACAAAAACTTGACTGCAGCACCCTCCATTTGCAACTCTGTTCCCTTTCTGCTAATTTCAGGAGCCAGTTCAAAGTGGTCTTTGTTCCTACAATTTCCCATCATGAACTTGCTCTGCTCTTGCCTACTTGCTGTCTTTTCTACTCCCACTTCCTCTGCTTGGTTAGCACGTAGTCTCAGTTCCTTCGTGTAATTTGATCAACACTGGTGTTAGTCTTCTTCTTTTCTGCTCTTATTGTCTTGTATTGGTATAGCATGCACTTTTCAGCTTTTGGGAAAGCATTCCTTTTGCCTTTCTCTTAGTTTCACAAGTTTTTTTAATGTAAATATAAAATATGATAACTTATTTGAATTAGCAGTGATCTCTACATGTATTAAATATTGAATGATAATTGGAATTTTGTTTAAAACAGAAAATAACATTTACGTCCACGACCTGTTGACGTTTCAACAAATCACCACTATTTCCAAGGCAAAAGGTGCATCTCTCTTCACTTGTGATCTTCAGGTAAGAGGAGGAATGCGGTGGCACAGATGTCCTTACTGTTTGTAATAAGGTTAGCTTTTTTATGTTTTATAAGTTAGGTTTGTACATTTTGTAATGCATGCAGGTTGGTACTAGAGCTTTTTAAAATTAATACCTGCTGGATGTTGAAGCTTTGCTTAAAGCAGCAGTTTTAAATGTAGTCACCTTATTTTTCTTCCTGTGCTTCATAAAATGCCTTCCTGTGCTTGTTGTGATTGTAACCTTTAACCTCCTGATGCAAAACTTCAAGGCATTTTTACCCTGTAGTACCTTTGACTGTCTTTTTTTGAAAGGTTGTATTCAATCTAAAAGCCATTCCCTTCTCTTAAATTATCAGTGTGCTAGCCCACAGTGGTTTCCTTCACCAAGCATCTCCATCACTGCTTTTGTTACGTTTTTGTTTGTGCTTAATTGTATTGGCCCATGGGAGTTCCAGGGCAGTTGTACTAGATTCAGTCCGTAAAATGGTTCCTTAAGGTATAGCAATCCCCTGTTCATATGCTGCAGTTTTTTGAGTGACTCACTTCTATCCAAGTGAGTTTCTCAGCCTACCTATGTCATTCAGGAGCTTTATTCATAAGCAGAAAAGGTAGGTTAGAGATCTTCATCAGTACTTTTGTCTCTTTCCCCCATGGGATCTTAGTGTTAAATATTTTCTAATAAATATGTAGGGTTTTCTAGGTGTTTAAAACTAGCGATGGCTTTCAAAGCACCTTTAATTCTGTTCATTCCAAATTGCCTTATTGTTTGTGTGTATATTGGCTAGTATTTCTTGTCAAGAAACTTTTCCAATAGATTAGAATATTAAACAGCTATTGATGTTTTTATTTGTGAATGTAATGTATTCTTTACATTGTTCCATTTCCTCCTCTCTCCTATACTTCATAGAGTTCAAGCTGTTTATCACAGTCTTCAGGACTGGGCAGATAGCTCTCTACTTCTGTTTGTGTGTATGTATGTCTTTGTTCTTATTTATTTTTTTGTATTTCCTTGGTGTCACAGTCCCTGCCAAAGTTCATTTTTAAATATCCTGCTCCACTTATCTCTGTTCTTCCTTTGTTTAGGGAATGCCCTTCTGGCATGGATGAACAAAGCTGCTCTTCAGATGACAGCTTTGCTTCAGGCTGAGGATTCTGCTGGCTTTATATTGACTTACTTGCCTCTTAGTTTCTGAGTTGTTGTGAGTTAAGTCTGTCTATTTTCACAGCAGTCAGATACAGGGGAAGAGGTGCTGAGAATGTGTGTGGCAGTGCGGAAGAAGCTGCAACTTTATTTTTGGAAGGATAGAGAGTTCCATGAATTACAGGTGAGTTGTGTCGTTTCTGTAGTCTTAACATGCTTCAACATGGATTGTAGTTGCTCTTTACTGCTTGCTGTGCAGTCCCTATTACTTAGAGGCACTGCTGTCTTTCAGAGCGTTGACTCATCTTGGTTCTGTAGTGGTTTAACAATGAAACAGCAAATAAAAGTGAAAATACAAGGTTAAAATCACAACTAATGTCATGAATACAATTTTATAAATTAAATCAAAGGCTGTGTTCTGTATTTTAATATTCTGCTTGCAGAACACTTTTAAGTCAGTGAAATGCATTAGTATGCAGCCTCTCTAAATGTATACCTAACAATAAAACTGGGTGTAATGGAAGTGGATCCACTTCTACCCAAAATTTTCCATGTATGTCATTATGTCAGAACATAGTTACTGACAATAAGGCTAGAGAACTGTACTTGGGAATACAAGAATGATAAAAATAACCAATGGAAATGGGTAGAGACTTTTTCAGCTCCGCTACTCTTCTAGGAAGTTATGAGCTAACTCGTAGCTCATCTCTTTACTATGCATGAATTCAGCCTTTTAGTTGAATGCTGCCATTCCTTGACCAACAGAAGCTGAGCATGTGCTGTAGGGAATATGGTGTCAACAACAGTGCTAATTGTTCCACTCAGTGTTGACAGATTTGACTTCGCTTTTCTGTTCTAACAGGTTTTTTTACCTGTTTTCCCTGTTTTTCTCAGGGAGACTTCAGTGTACCTGATGTACCCAAGTCTATGGCCTGGTGTGAAAACTCCATCTGTGTAGGTTTCAAGAGGGACTACTACCTGATACGGGTAAGACTGGTGTTTAGAATACAGTGTTTTAAGAAGCTTTGGATAGCAGTAGACACTATGGAGGCTGCTCCTGTGACTAGGGATTTAGCTGACAGACATACATGAAAGACAGCATCTGGTACTCCTCCTATATGTGATTTGGGAAAGGGCAATCTAAGGCTGTCCTTTTAAACTGATGCTTTGCCAGGAAGCTATCTTCCATTTTTTTGCTGTTGAAACCAGCGTTTGAAGCTCTTGATGAAAATTGTTCTGTTAGTGAGTAGTCTGGGTTGTAAACCTCTTGGGGATGGTTTTTGGCTTTGGTCTTACTGAGCTTTGAAATAAAGTTTGTTTTGAAAAACAGGAGTTGTATTTTCTTTATCATCGTAGGTGGATGGAAGAGGATCCATCAAAGAACTGTTTCCCACAGGGAAGCAGCTGGAACCATTGGTAGCTCCTGTAGCAGATGGAAAAGTTGCAGTTGGTCAAGATGATCTAACAGTTGTGCTCAATGAAGAAGGGGCCTGTACTCAGAAATGTGCCTTGAATTGGACAGATATTCCTATAGCCATGGGTGAGAATTAGCAGTAATTAAAAAAAATTTAATATTTTCTTTACTCCTTTGTATGTGCCAGAATTGTTGCATTACTGGTATTTGGAAACTAGCTGGATTTGGAATTTGACAGTTTCTAAAGTATTTCAAGTTGTACTCCAAATGTGGAAGGTTTTATGTTTATTTTTGTTTGTTCTCCTTCTTTGCTTGTAATCTGAATGCCTGTCTCCTCAGAAACAAGGTGTGTTGTGTATCTTTTATAAAAGGACAAGATTGGAAGTTGCAGGTAGTGTGTTATAGCACTGTAGTTCTCTGGGCACCTGGGTGCCACAGAACCTCTTCATGTTGAAGGATGAACAGAAAGCCTGGTAGTAGTCTATTAAGAAATTGCTGTCAGTATTGGGCATTGAGTTTTGTTTTTAATAAGCAAAAAGGTAGGACACATTTCAAGGGGAGAAGCAAACTGAAGAGAAGACTTACTTTAAGTCGTGGCTTGTTTCAAGGGATACTGTATACTAAGGGAGATGGTGTGTTTTTCACTTGTTTTGCTAACAGAACACCAACCTCCCTACATCATTGCTGTTCTGCCAAGGTATGTGGAGATCCGCACTTTTGAACCCCGGCTTCTGGTACAGAGTATTGAGCTGCAGAGACCGCGCTTTATCACTTCTGGAGGGTATTGAGTACAGCTGATTATTGCTTTTGTTGGGCTCGGTGGGTGGGTGGTATTGTACCACCTCTGAAAAACTGGGAGGAAAAGCTTTTCTAACTCCCTGGGCTTAAGTAGTAGTATTGATGTGGTCTGCTGTTTTTTATCAAGGCTATACATCAAGGAGTAAATGACAAATTGACTGTCTTTGGGAATTACTGAATACATTGATCCACGTGTGTATTAACCAGGATTGTTCTTTTCAGATATGCTATTTCTTCTTAGTGCCAGAACTTAATAACTGACCTTTTTTTTTCTTGTTTACAGCACAAATATTATATATGTGGCAAGTAATCACTTTGTTTGGCGGCTCATTCCAGTGTCTATAGCCACACAGATCCAGCAGCTTCTGCAGGACAAGCAGTTTGAGTTGGCTTTGCAGTTGGCGGTAAGTTACTCAGAAAAGTTTGGGGTTGCAGTGGATGCACATGTGCAACAGTGCACAGAAGGGTGTTTGCCTTCTGCTCAACGGTAGCTTGTCTGGGGAATTTATCCTCCCTATTATCCACTTTGCACAAACTGCTAAACTCTAGCTTTTTTTTAACCTCGGTTTTAGTCTTGTGCTCCCACTTCTCTGTTGTGGTTGGATTTTGAGATACCCTCTTGTTTGTGAAAGATTTTCTCTCTGGGCTGTTTAATTGGTTACTTTGTTTTAAACTTTGAGGTCAGTTGGACTTCGGAGTCCACACAGTCTTGCTTGGAGGTGTGTGTTTTGTTTTCTCAAATGACCAGGGTTTTTTGTAGTGGCCCTCCATACTGCTCCTGAAAGATAATTTCTTAGAGATGCTGATGCAGTATGTTTAATTATATTGCTCTTCTTGTTCCAGAAAATCCCAGAACCATATTAAAATTAATGAATTGCATTTTGCTTTGCTAACTAGAAAAAAAATTGAAAAGGCAAATGAGCAAAGAAGGAGTACTTTTCACTCTCTATCACTCTGTGATACCAGAGGTAGCTTTTCAAACCTTCCAGGTTATCTCAGTGATGCAATAAGCATAACATCTGAGAATCACCATCAGAAGTGTTCGTTTGGAAGATTTTCTTCTTACTCTCTCCCTAGGATAACACTGTGGTTATTTTTGTAGAGTGTTTCCTTCTCATTTATGAGGCCTAAGGTTTTCTAACAATTGTTAATTTGTATGAGTGTAGGAAATGAAGGATGATTCAGATAGTGAGAAGCGACAACAAATTCACCACATAAAGAACCTCTTTGCCTTCAACCTCTTCTGTCAGAAGCGCTTTGATGAATCCATGCAAGTCTTTGCCAAGCTTGGAACAGGTAAATGCTTGCATTGGTGTTGAGATACCTAGGTTAGGAGGCATGAAATGAAGCTCACAGACTATTATGTGGGTTGTTTCTTTTCTGTTTCATTTTTGTTTTGGAACAGTAGTGTCTTGTGCAGACCAGTCCCTTTTGAATGGCAAATAGCCTAAGCAGCTTCTTAGCTTTTTTGTGAAACTGATTATAGTACTTAATGAACTTCAGGAAGTGAGTTAAATTGTGAATTTGCCCTTTGTACAGAATATATTTGTATTGTAGGCAATTTTACAGCATGTATAGCATGTAACCCTTGAAGCTGAGGGTTTCAGCAGCTGCCAAATGCCTGCTTGTAGCTTGGAATGAAAAGTAAGGACCATCTGTTGATTTGCTGACTCCTTGAACATGGACCAAGCTGAGGTCCCACCCCATTTCCTGTTAATGGACCAAGCTGCTGAAGCCAGGAAACTTTTAAGTGGTTTGGGAAGTCAAAATAGTCTCTGATGCTATTCCTCTGATTTGTACTAGGATTATTTGAAGGACACCTGGAGGTTGGACTGTGCCATAGTGCTTAAGACTTTTGTTAGTGACAGGATGTTCCTTGTGCACTTAAACCTAGAACTTCTACTTGTTTCGATGACACTAAACATCATATTGACTTTGGAAAATTACAGTGAAAGAGAAGGACTGACAACTCAAAATCCTTTGAACTTAAATTTGAGAGCAGTAATTTTGAACTTGCTTAAACTCCCTGAAAACAGGTGTTCACTAGTTACAGATAATCCTATTAATGTTTCAAAAGTAAAAAATAAAACTTCTTTTAAAGCACTGCTTGTTCCTAGAAATCCTGTCCCACTGTCCAAGTTGTTAATGGTGGGTTTCTGCAAGAAGAGCAGTAAGAGGTTTATAATAATGGCTTGTCCTCTAGGAGTGCCAATTGCACCAGTTAGAACTTGTGCTTGGACTTGGAAACAGCATTTCTCTTGCTTCTTTTGCCTTGTCTTAGCTTATTTTCTGTAATACGCAAATTCCGTTATTTGGAACGTTGTGGACATGCAAGTTGACCACAAACAGCTCTGTTGGAAAGCTAAGCTTGCTCAAAGGTTACACACATTTAAGAGTTTTGCAAAAAAAATGTTATGAATGTTTACTAATGCTAGTTATTTTCTGCTTAGATCCCACTCATGTGATGGGTCTGTATCCTGACCTCCTGCCCACAGATTACAGGAAACAGCTACAGTATCCCAACCCCCTGCCAGGGCTCTCTGGGGCAGAGCTGGAGAAGGCACATTTAGCTCTGATAGACTACCTAACTCAAGTGAGTGCTCCTACATCTGTTTTTAGAGCAGGGTTATCCAGTTTTAGCATACTTTATTTAGCTTTGTGCAGAAAGTAGTACAGCTACTCCAGCTCTGACATGCTAGTCTTAATGGGATGTCTTCATGGTTGGAAACTATGACAATAGGCTCATTCCAGTGTCTATAGCCACACAGATCCAGCAGCTTCTGCAGGACAAGCAGTTTGAGTTGGCTTTGCAGTTGGCGGTAAGTTACTCAGAAAAGTTTGGGGTTGCAGTGGATGCACATGTGCAACAGTGCACAGAAGGGTGTTTGCCTTCTGCTCAACGGTAGCTTGTCTGGGGAATTTATCCTCCCTATTATCCACTTTGCACAAACTGCTAAACTCTAGCTTTTTTTTAACCTCGGTTTTAGTCTTGTGCTCCCACTTCTCTGTTGTGGTTGGATTTTGAGATACCCTCTTGTTTGTGAAAGATTTTCTCTCTGGGCTGTTTAATTGGTTACTTTGTTTTAAACTTTGAGGTCAGTTGGACTTCGGAGTCCACACAGTCTTGCTTGGAGGTGTGTGTTTTGTTTTCTCAAATGACCAGGGTTTTTTGTAGTGGCCCTCCATACTGCTCCTGAAAGATAATTTCCTAGAGATGCTGATGCAGTATGTTTAATTATATTGCTCTTCTTGTTCCAGAAAATCCCAGAACCATATTAAAATTAATGAATTGCATTTTGCTTTGCTAACTAGAAAAAAAATTGAAAAGGCAAATGAGCAAAGAAGGAGTACTTTTCACTCTCTATCACTCTGTGATACCAGAGGTAGCTTTTCAAACCTTCCAGGTTATCTCAGTGATGCAATAAGCATAACATCTGAGAATCACCATCAGAAGTGTTCGTTTGGAAGATTTTCTTCTTACTCTCTCCCTAGGATAACACTGTGGTTATTTTTGTAGAGTGTTTCCTTCTCATTTATGAGGCCTAAGGTTTTCTAACAATTGTTAATTTGTATGAGTGTAGGAAATGAAGGATGATTCAGATAGTGAGAAGCGACAACAAATTCACCACATAAAGAACCTCTTTGCCTTCAACCTCTTCTGTCAGAAGCGCTTTGATGAATCCATGCAAGTCTTTGCCAAGCTTGGAACAGGTAAATGCTTGCATTGGTGTTGAGATACCTAGGTTAGGAGGCATGAAATGAAGCTCACAGACTATTATGTGGGTTGTTTCTTTTCTGTTTCATTTTTGTTTTGGAACAGTAGTGTCTTGTGCAGACCAGTCCCTTTTGAATGGCAAATAGCCTAAGCAGCTTCTTAGCTTTTTTGTGAAACTGATTATAGTACTTAATGAACTTCAGGAAGTGAGTTAAATTGTGAATTTGCCCTTTGTACAGAATATATTTGTATTGTAGGCAATTTTACAGCATGTATAGCATGTAACCCTTGAAGCTGAGGGTTTCAGCAGCTGCCAAATGCCTGCTTGTAGCTTGGAATGAAAAGTAAGGACCATCTGTTGATTTGCTGACTCCTTGAACATGGACCAAGCTGAGGTCCCACCCCATTTCCTGTTAATGGACCAAGCTGCTGAAGCCAGGAAACTTTTAAGTGGTTTGGGAAGTCAAAATAGTCTCTGATGCTATTCCTCTGATTTGTACTAGGATTATTTGAAGGACACCTGGAGGTTGGACTGTGCCATAGAATACTGCTTAAGACTTTTGTTAGTGACAGGATGTTCCTTGTGCACTTAAACCTAGAACTTCTACTTGTTTCGATGACACTAAACATCATATTGACTTTGGAAAATTACAGTGAAAGAGAAGGACTGACAACTCAAAATCCTTTGAACTTAAATTTGAGAGCAGTAATTTTGAACTTGCTTAAACTCCCTGAAAACAGGTGTTCACTAGTTACAGATAATCCTATTAATGTTTCAAAAGTAAAAAATAAAACTTCTTTTAAAGCACTGCTTGTTCCTAGAAATCCTGTCCCACTGTCCAAGTTGTTAATGGTGGGTTTCTGCAAGAAGAGCAGTAAGAGGTTTATAATAATGGCTTGTCCTCTAGGAGTGCCAATTGCACCAGTTAGAACTTGTGCTTGGACTTGGAAACAGCATTTCTCTTGCTTCTTTTGCCTTGTCTTAGCTTATTTTCTGTAATACGCAAATTCCGTTATTTGGAACGTTGTGGACATGCAAGTTGACCACAAACAGCTCTGTTGGAAAGCTAAGCTTGCTCAAAGGTTACACACATTTAAGAGTTTTGCAAAAAAAATGTTATGAATGTTTACTAATGCTAGTTATTTTCTGCTTAGATCCCACTCATGTGATGGGTCTGTATCCTGACCTCCTGCCCACAGATTACAGGAAACAGCTACAGTATCCCAACCCCCTGCCAGGGCTCTCTGGGGCAGAGCTGGAGAAGGCACATTTAGCTCTGATAGACTACCTAACTCAAGTGAGTGCTCCTACATCTGTTTTTAGAGCAGGGTTATCCAGTTTTAGCATACTTTATTTAGCTTTGTGCAGAAAGTAGTACAGCTACTCCAGCTCTGACATGCTAGTCTTAATGGGATGTCTTCATGGTTGGAAACTATGACAATACGTCTTGAGAAAGTAGGGTTACTGGGAGATGTGAGGTGCCCCACAGGTATGTGGGAGACATTACTTGAGAATTTTGTGAGGATTAGGCAAAATTTATGTATGGTCCAGATCTGAGTATGAGTCCAGTGTTTTATTTCTATTAAAGAGGACTCATGCTCTTGATCTTTTCTTTGGTGACTATTATGAAGGGCACCCTATTCAGGAGACGGGTCAAAAGCATTCATTAAAAGGTGGAACAGGAGGTAGTGGGTACTGTAACTTCCTGTTCCCTGGATTTTGTTGTAGTTGGTATCTGAATTGTTCTGCTACCATTCTTACTAGATTAAAAGGAGGCTTGTGTCTGAGGGGGGATAGTGCTTGGGCCTAGGATTTCAAAACCTAAATTGTTTTCCAAGTGTTATAAATGTCTCCTGAATTCTCTAAAATGTCTGTGTTTAGGTTAACAGAGTTTCCTTCTGACTATCTGCTTAAGACTCTGGACATTTTGCAAAACTACAAATTTGCAAAACAAATGTATACACCCAAAATGTTGTTGGAAAGGTGATGTGTTGAATAATTAGCAACAGTAAAAAACCCCTCTATTAGACCATTAATTAAATCAATTTATTAAATGGTTTCATTTAGTTTTTTTATTTGGTGGGTCGTATTTCCTGACTTGGGATGGAGAGTTCCATGACCTTTTCCTGTTGAAATTTCATTTGGTGTCCTGCAGAAAAGGAGTCAGCTGGTGAAGAAGTTAAATGATTCTGACCATCAGTCCAGCACCTCTCCTCTCATGGAAGGAACACCCACGATCAAATCAAAAAAGAAGTTGCTACAAATCATTGATACAACCCTGTTGAAGTGTTACCTTCATGTGAGTTTTAGCCCGATTTCAAAACCTAAATTGTTTTCCAAGTGTTATAAATGTCTCCTGAATTCTCTAAAATGTCTGTGTTTAGGTTAACAGAGTTTCCTTCTGACTATCTGCTTAAGACTCTAGACATTTTGCAAAACTATAAATTTGCAAAACAAATGTATACACCCAAATGTTCTGGAAAGGTGACGTGTTGAATAATTAGCAACAATAAAAAACCCCTCTATTAGACCATTAATTAA